TGTCTGATTTATTAAATTGGAACTTTAAGGATCGTTTTTGCCTTGGACTCTGATTTAATTCCACATGATACTTGGAACACTGACACACATCCATTATTAATCAAATGGGATGGATCCTGGAGGGTAGAGACCCGCATTTGAAATTAAGCTAGATGCACCATCTGTCTAGTGGCCAAGGAGTTTGGCTATCAATAAGGCAGGGATGGCTAACGTTTTTGTCGTCACATGCTAAAAGCGTGTGTGCACCCATAACGCAATGCATGTGTGACCCCCTGTACATCCCGCTCCCCCATACATGTGTGTGCGATGTGTGACCTTACACATGCATGTATGACCCCCCCGCCCCTGCACATGTGTGTGTGACCCCCTCCCACGCATGTACAACCCTGTACATGCCCCCTGCCCCCATGCGCATGCAAGGCAGAGACCCCAAACCAGCTGGTCAGCGGGAGGTGCACCCCCACACAGAATGGAGTTGCGTTCCGCCGACAGCTTGCATGCCCACCAAAAGGGATCTGCGTGCCACCTGTGGCAGGCGTGCCACAGGTTCGCCTTCATGGCCATCGGAGATTTTAACTGAATATTAGCCCACTGCTTGCATCATGAAACTAAGTGCTCTAGAACAGAGCTTCTCAATCTTGACAACTTGAAGACGGGTGGACTTCAACTCCCAGAATTCTGTGCCGGCTGGGGAATTCTAGGAGTTGAAGTCACACAAGTTGCCCAGGTTGAGAAACACGGCTTGGGAGAACCCAAAGAGACGTTGGACTGAGGTGGCTTATCAACCCTAATCGATCCATTACACAAAACCCAACGTTCTTGAGACAAAAGCTTCTGTGAGGTTGGATGGCTGTTCAACCGATCTTCTAAAGGTGAAGATGGGATGCAGAGGATCTGTGTGAAAGAGCAGCTTGGCCATTTATGAATTCAGCTGTCAGAACCTTTCCAGCAACCAAAAAAGATCACCCTTCAGGGACCACCCATTCCCATCCTGAAGGTTGAAGATGGGGAGGACTTCCAACCTCCACGAGCACCAAACCCTCACTGTTAACTAGGATGTCGATCTTCTCGAATTCTTGGAGGGCCTCGTCCACAGCTGCTGAAATGCTTTGAGGTTGCCGTACATCAAGGGAGATGGGCAGGCATCTCTGGCCGGTAGCTGCAGAGAGTTTCTTGGACGCCTGTCAGGAGAAGTAAAGATTTTGGGAGATCAGACAGCTGCCTTTCTAAAAAGATTTTTTAGCAATGTACACACACACACACACAAACACCTGCCACAATAGCTCCACACGAATACATCAACCCAACCACAACCTAATCTAAGCCTTGGGTTTCTCAAGCTCAGCGACTTTAAGATCTGCAGACTTCAATTCCCAGAATTTCTCAGAGCATTTTGAGAGGCGAGGTTCACACATCTTGAAGCTGTCAACTTTGAGAAATACCGTATTTTTTCAGAGTATAAGACGCACCTTTTTCCCCTCAAAAAAGAAGCTGAAAATCTGAGTGCATCTTATACACTGAATACAGCACTTTTTGCCCCCTAAAACCCTGCCCCCTTTGCAAAAATGGCCATGCATGGCCTTTAGGAGGCTTCCAGAGTGCTCCTGGGGGCTGGGGAGGGCAGAAATGAGAGACAAACTGGCCATTTTTTGCTCATTTTTGCCCCCCACAGCCCCCAGGACCACTCTGTAAGCCTCCTAAAGGCTAGGCATGCCCTTTTTTGGGAGAAAAAATAGGTTGTTTTTTGCTTGTTGGGGGGGGGGGGAAATGGGCCTGTTTTCACGAAAAACGGGCCATTTTTGAGAAGTCTGCAGGGTGCAAAAACTTTTTTTTTAATTTGCCTCTTCAAAATCTTGGTGCGTGTTATACTCCGGTGCGTCTTATACTCTGAAAAACACGGTAAATGATCCACCTTCAGGGTCAGGGACCCAATCAGAATCAGTCTCTAAAGACCTTCCAAAACAACCTTCCTGAGACTTTGGAAGACCACAAAAATGGGAGTCCTCTTTGCTTCTTCACTGAGAAGCTGCTAATATCTCTAATGCGGATATTTGTAACATATTGGTAAAAATACAAGGATTTCGCAGCCACTAACCTCCGTCAGCCGTTCCAGGTTTCTGCTGGCAATGACGCACTGGCAGCCGTGTCTGCAGAAAGATTTCCCAAGGACAGACAGAGAAGTCAAGGAATGCAAAAACTTCCTTCTTTTTACTTAATAGTTTGAGGCTTTTTTAAAGAAATGCAAAAGCAAATATCTGTTAAACTGGACTAGTGAGGCCACATTATATCTGCATCCAGAACTGCATCCAGTTCTGGTCACTACAATATAAAAAAAAATGGTGAGACTCTTGAAAGAGTGCAGAGAAGAAGAACAAAGGTGATAAGAGGCCTGGAGCCTAACCATACAATGAGCAATTGAGGGAATTAAATATGTCTAGTTTAACTGCAAAAAAAAACCCCAATTACTACTGAAAGAGTTCTGCTGTCCTTACCTCATCAGGATCTCAGCGATGCGGAATCCAATTCCAGAGCCACCGCCTGTGATGAAAGCCACTTTTCCTCTAGAAAAACCAGGAGGAGGAGACGTCAGGAATTCACTCATTTATATATTTATTTATTTACCCCGCAACACCCAACAACTCGGGGGGGGGGGGGGGGGGCCTCCCAAGTGAAAAATCATGAAAGAGTGGGAAAGAAATTCAAATTCACAAAATCAAAGGAGTTTTTTTTTAAAGGGAATAATATTCTTTATTACAGGTTAGTGACACAGATTAATAAAAACTTCTTAAATTAAACCTGGAAAGTAGAAAATGAGAATGATGGCAAAATTGGACAGGACTGGTTTAGAAGCAGCAGTATATTATTATTAGTTTATTCTATTCTATTCTATTCCTGATTCTTTATTCTATTCTATTCTATTTATTCTATTCTATTCCTGATTCTTTATTCTATTCTATTCTATTCACTCTATTCCATTCCATTCTATCCCATTTCCTATTCCTATTCTATTGTCTATTCTATTCTTCTATTCCATTCCATTCTATTCCCCCCAACCAGGTTTACAGGAACCTTAAAGAGGCCTAGCACCTTGGGAATGCTTACTGGAGGATGTCAGGCTTGAAGAGATATGAATATTCCGGAAGACAGTCATCTGTGTCGACATCAGGAGGAGGTTCACAAGCAAAACCCAGGTGAGCCATGGAGAGCTCGCTTGTTCTAGAGGAATCAAGGCAGGGTTTCACAACCAGTCCTGAGATGGGGAGAAAACCCACAATACGATTATGGTCTGTCACACAGTCAGCCAGATGTTGAGAGTGGATTTGGGGGTTTTATCCACCCAGAAAGTTCCTCCCAAGGCCCTGGGATAGGCAGAGGTGGATGTTTGATGGCGTGGCACGACAAAACCGCGCTCGTCAAAATAGCGGTGATAAAACCGCGTCGCTAAAGCCGCGAC